TGGAATCCACTTGAGACGAACTGCAGCTGGAATGGAATATAACTCGGGTGTCGGCTGGTCCATTCAGCATATCTTGATATCACCATGATTGCAGCATATCGCACCCGAGGGTAGTCTGCAAGCGAAGGCATTAAATCCGTGATTTTTGGAATGACACGGTCATCCGAAGGATCTATCTCGGCACCCATAGAACGCAAAGAGAACAGAGGTGCTTCAATCTCTTGCCATGACACTGGTCTCCCGGCGCATGCTTCCTCTAATGCCTGTGTTAAGGTGGTCAGGACCTCCGTAAGACAATTCTCGCTGCCCAAACGAAGCAGCAGTCCTTGAGAGTGTCTCCCATGACATGCCTGAAAGATCTGAAATCGTCCGCCTCCTGAGGTGCCATTTTACTAGGATCTTCAGGAAAGTAAAGGTGTCTAATCATGACACGCATCAACGACCTGTATGCATCGAGGAATAGTGGCGAAACGGAAGGCCGTTTTCCTATGCTCAATGCGTGCCGCATCCAGAACTGGAAAGTGATCGGAACGATGTCAAGGTCATGGTACGCGGAACATTCTCCAATTGCCTCGACGATAGGGAAGAAAGTGTCGGGATGTTAAAGAACTAGCATCCGATAGACTTCACCAGCTTCGCTATAGATTTTTGCAGGCCCTTCATTTTTTCCGGGTCATCCTTTGCAAGGAGAAGTTTTGGTTTCAACTCTACTAGCTTGGGGATAATAACTTCAATGACAGCCATATTCTCATCGACTTCCTGCGTCTCGTGTATGACTTCACATAGCACGTCGACTGCGGCATCGAAAAGATCGTCGGATTCCAAAGCATCAAACGCGAATCCCAATAGTGGAGTTTCGGCAACCGCTGACGGAAGAATCTCTCCTGCAATGACCCAGCTTCGTAGGCAGTACAAGATCTGGCTTTGTAGAGCCGTCGTGACCCCTACACATAAAGTGAGAATAAGGCTTGAGAGGAGACCGCTAACATATAAACCTGAAGCCGTTATGTACATAGTCAAAAGGCTGGCGATAGCTCCTGCGTTGTTTGTGAGAAGCCTCGTCGAACCATCTTTATACTCATCAGGCTGGCATATCGCGAGATCGATGAGAATGTAATCAGAAGAATATATGCACCTTACAGTCACAGGTATTTTCGAATTGCTGCTAATCTCCTCCGGTAGAACTGTCAAGAACTCTAGCAATGTTGAGACTGTTGCCGGATTTTGACCGAATCTGTCGATAACAGACTGAACTGCGGTATCTTGCCAATCGGGAAATTGAAGGGCGAGCCCAGCAAGCGCGAGACTTAGCTGGATGATGATCGTCTTTGAACTTCCCGTTAATGACGCCATTGCAGTCAGAAGAGTATCTCGGAAAGATGGGATGAACGAAGGGTCCAACTGATGGAGGTCATATGTGACCTTTTACACAGAGTAAGATCTTAATGACGACTAGGACATAAAATGCTGATCACGCACCTTGGTCGAAACGTCTAAGCAGCAAATATCTTAGCAATCAAAGGGATTTCTGGGCTAAGCAGAAGCATATTGCAAGTCGCCCATGCCTCATTCTGATGGCTATCGAATTAGCCGTTGTTCGTGGACACGACCAGGGCGGCGAAAGTAATTACGGAATGCCGGAAATCTTGAAGCCAATTATTTGCAGTTGTAAACGACGCCTGTCCGTCGTAGGAAGAAGAGAAAGGAATCAGATCGGGATAAAGGTCACGAGACTGGACCTTACTATTTAGGGTCCTGCATCTCTCCATCATTCTTGCACTCGTTAGAAACCATGACAATGCAAGATCCCTTAGCTGGTGCATCTACTTTGAAAGACATTGTTCGACCTCAATTCCATCAGGTCAGCCTTAGTGCTGACAACTTCGTAAAGTATACCATTGGTGTAAAACTCGATAAAGGTTAGTAATTCCTATCCCCTGTGAACTTCTCATCGTCCTAACGACTCACCCGTGGCTTTAGATGATCAGATTTGTCGACTGGCCCTTACTCCTGCAGGATGTCCCCTAGGGCCTTTACAATGTCCGCTGCGACATACAAATCCGTCACCACAGAATTTCCAACCACCAAAGCAAGTATCTATGCACCCGCGAGACCGTAAACGACTCGCTACGGTTTGTAAGCACTGGCTTCGTGGTTTATGCAAGAAGGGTGATGCCTGCGAGTTTTTGCACGAGTATAACTTAAGACGGATGCCTGAGTGTTGGTGGTACGCAAAGTTTGGTTACTGTCAAGCAGGTGATGAATGCCTCTATGCCCATCCGAAGGAGAAGAAGATAGAATGTCCGGACTACAAGAGAGGTTTCTGCAAGCTTGGTACGTGTAGCTTCTTTAATGTAAATATAATACTAAACTCTTTCAGGACCTCATTGCCCTCGAAAACACGTCAGACGGGTTGCATGCAAAATTATTTGACCGGGTACTGTCCTTTGAAACAAGAGTACACTCGTGGACAGTAAGTACAACTGGCCCATTCATAGACGTAATTCTGATTGTCTTCTCCAGCCCGAAGCCCGACCTTCCAACCCCGAAGGACTATGAGCCTCCCGAGGCTCCCTCACAAAGAGACTTAGACCCTCCCCCTCCAGGCTACGGAAGGTACACTGGTTTTGATCGGAACGCAAATCTCTAACCGGTCCCGGTTCAACAAAGCTTTCAAGGCGAGTTCGTCGGTGGACCAAGACGAACCTTGACGATGTTATGTGTTTCAAAGTACGTGCATCACACCACATATCCGTCTAGTTCCTGTTTTAACTATGTACTACAGTGTGGAGAAAGGGGTCCTTACGCAAATCATTGTCGAAATCGGAATGTGCCAGGGTTGAGCGGAGACGACTCGGTGGCAATGAAGATTGATTCCTGTTTAGTTCGCTTGCGTCTCATCTGCATTGTCATTGGCTCCGTATTTTCTCCAAGGACTCCACTCATCCCAAGGCCACGGCACCATACTGTTGTTGTTCCGTTAAGAGCTTTTTTCCCGACAAGCGAAGGCCATAGTGTTATGAACCAATGGCACTTCAAGTCGGGCTCAAGCCTTAGTCTGTTGGGTTTCTTGCGCAACATTTTAAATCATTTTTCGACTTGTAGATTGAGGACAGCAGTGGATTGCACAGTTATCCATCAAAAATTCTAGAGTTGCATTTAATGTTCGTAGTTAGAATGACTGCTACAATATACAGAAATTCATCACAAAAATAAACATAGTCTTATAATGTATTATATGCAAATGTAATGTCTAAAATATATAAAATATATAGAAGTCTGCCAGGTGTCCATATATTGGATTTTAAGGCTAAGACATATATTTTCAAGATATGTAAGAGTTGTGAAATCTATAATACTTCTAATGATTGTCAGAGTATACAAGACTTGACAGACAATATAAGCCATTATAAGCTATTGTTAGAATTGATAGATAATAAAATAAATATTGTTTTAAATATTACTTGTACTTTCTAAACACTGTTATAGAAGGGAAAAGTTGTGTAATATTTATTTAAATGTACTAAGAATACAAGCAAATTCCTTTAACTAACCATACTACCTTCCTCCTTTGACT